CATCCGGAGGCCTAGACATTTCGCTCTAAAGTAGTTACCACTGTTTTATCTGTGCTGTGACTGGTGAACGACCTTCTTGTTGTAGTGAGTTGGCCTAGACCTAGGATAGTCTTTGAAAACAAAATGGCAAAACAAAAAAAAGAGAAATAAGAAATAGGGGGGAATAAAACCTGCAGTGTGTTTTGGTTGTAAAAGTTCTCAAAAGCAGATATGTGTCCAGGGACGGATCCAGAGATGTCCAAAAGTGGGGCTGATTGAGATAACAATACTCTAGGGGTCTGGGGGAATGTCCCACGAAATTTCTGTGTTCTAGACACCCGAAAATAAGCTTTGAGGCCTTTTGGGCAATCAATTTTTTCTTTTTTTTTTTCTTTTTCCTTTTTCCTTATTTGCACTTTAAAGAAACCTGAATATTTCTCAAAGAATAAGAGTACAGTAATGTGGCAAAAAGTTGAAAGGTCTGATGGACGTCATGGGTAACAGCAGCAGAGGTGGGGAATTACGGTATGTTGAGGCCATATAATGGCAAAGGTATGTTTTAAAGTAAGTAGTTCATAATTACCATATATTTCTAAGGTATACTGTATTTTATTCATTTTCAGTTTTCTCTGACTTTCCAAATGGTTGGCCATTTAGATCTAGATATTTTTGTAATACAGTATGTCTAATTATCTTTAAGACATATTTAAACCATTCTACATAATTTGTTGTTTACATCATTATTAATTATTGATTGATTGAATTGATTGATCAATTTATTGAAAATATACTCTCCTCTACTAATGATATAACAACTTTAATCAGAATACTTCTCATCTGACAGTTTGGATGCGAGACATTTTTGATTTTTACAAAATTATAATTAAAATATTTATAATGCTATGGCAATTTATTAGTCTGAATGAGATGTTTTATCAATGGAACATGGCCCAGTAGGTGTGCATCTTCACATATTAATAACAGAGCATTGCAAAATTTACAAGAGATATAATAGCAACTCAACAAATTTTAATATAAAAATATTAATAGGAACCTTCCAGTAATAAATCGGTCATACGTTTGATTTACCGGTAATACAATTAAATATGAAACAACTGGATTTTAATGTTTACAATGGGGAAAACCTTACTCCTTTTCATTTCCCACAATTTTAAAAAATGAAACGTCATTTAATGATGTTTCTGGTCACTGCTATTGGTAGATACTATTTTCATTTTCATGAAATTTAGAACTGGTGTGGATTCTTAATTGGTTTGGTGATCAACATTCTTCATTTCCTATTCCAACCATAGAACTAGTATTTCTTGATTGATTCTTCAAATAGGTAGCTTAATTTATGAAAGGTTAATGACAAAGCAGAATAATCCCTTAATTCAAGTTATTGTCAACTATTCACACTCTTTGTTGTTTATCTGCATATTTTATTTGTTACCAATAGTAATTAAAAATTCTAATAAAAATTAAATTATTCATGTTATTGTTATTAAGCAGTCTAAAGGTCATTGTGTGCAAGTACTAAGCACCTGTTTCTGTGTCTGAAATTATCTTAATATGATTCTGAATTGAGTGTATCGTATGCTATCTGTGATTAAATTCCCCATTAAGTCTTTTTATTCACCTATGTTGTAAACAAAATGTTCTGCTCAATTACTGCTGTAATTGTGATATTTACATTGGTATGTATAGTTTTGCATTTTGATCTTTTTGGCTAAAATGAAGCTTTCATTCCTTTGTATCATTCCTCTTGAATGACCTGCCTGGCTGTGTTTAAAAAACACTGCCTTGCTCTTGGTTTTTTAAGTTAACTTAAAAATTCAATTGTTCAACTGTATACAGTAGGCACGGATCCAGAATTTACCCTGACTATCTCACAGATGGAGTCCTAGGGTGGACAGGTCATGAGAAGAGAGCGTAATTTGTGGTTTAGACATGGAGGGGGTCTAGGGGATCCTCTTTCGCAAAGTTTTAGTTTCTTAAGTGCTTGGAAATGCACTTTGCTGCATTTTGAGACCTCTATTAATGCATGAATACACTCCGAATTCATTGTTTTTCCCTACTTTACCATGGAAAATTAATAATGGTAATGAAGATAATGATGAGGAGGAGGAGGCGGCAGCATAGCTAGGTGATGACAGGCTCCTGTGCAAGAATAATTACCAGGCCCTTTGATGTGTCAACTGAGGCCCATAGACTGAGTTACGGTTGGGGTTTGGTGAAATTATCATCATCATTGTGTAATTGTGTACAAGTTTTATGATTCATGATAGCTCTTTTGTATAAAAAGTGATAAGAAACCTGCAAAATAAAAGTTCAGGCAATTATTTACTTCTGTTTATTCTGTCAGTTGAAATATTAAAATGAAAGGAATACAAATAAAATAAAGTCAAAATAAACACCTACCTTAATGTAAAATTGAATTTCCAATCTTGTGCTAAATACACTTAAAGGTCCTTAAAGTGTAAATCTTGTATATCATGGTACTAGAGGAACTTTACAAATAGTAATCAATTTCCCTTTCTCCTTTCCCTCTCTGCGAGTCTCTGAAAGCTCTGAACCTGCGACCTCTTGCTAAATAAATCATCAAAGAAAGGTAAATACAGTGTTAGAATAAAGGACATAATAATACATTGTGTAGCAT